AAAAAATGAAGGAGAAAGAGAAAATCTCCAAAAACAACCACAAAACAAGTAATAAAATGGCAATAAATATGTATCTATTAATAATTACTTTGAATGTAAATGGACTAAACACTCCAATCAAAAGACATAGGCTGTCGGGATAGGAAAAAAAAAAAAAACACAAAAAACAAAAAACAAGAGCCATTTATATGCTGCCTACAAGAAACTCATTGTAGACCTAAAGATGCCTTCAGATTTAAAGTGTTGGAGTGGAGAAATATTTCTCATGCAAATGGATGTGAAAAGATACTTGGAGTAGCAATACTTATATTGGACAAAATGGACGTGAAAACAAAGATTATAACAAGTGACAAAGAAGGACTCTTTATAATAGTAAAAGGGATAATCCAACAAGAACATATAACAATTGTAAATAGTTATGCCCCCAACTTGGGAGCACCCAAAAAATAAAGTAACTAACAAAACACATAAAGGAACTAATCAATAATAATACACTCATAGTAAGGGTCTTTAACACCTCACTTACATCAATGGACAGATAGTCTAAACAGAAGATCAACAAGGAAACAGTGGCTTTGAATGGCACCCTGGACCCAATGGACTTAAGAGATATATTCAGAACATTCCATCCTAAAACCGCAGAATACACATTCTTTTCAAGTGCACGTGGGACATTCTCCAGAATAGATCACAATTAGGTCATAATATTAGTCCATAAAACAGGCCTCAACAAATTCAAGAAAATCAAAGTTATACCATGCACCTTTTCTGACCACAATGCTATGAAACTAGAAGTCAACCACAGGAAAAAAATCTGGAAAGACCACAGATATCTGGAGGTTAAATAACATGCTAATAAAAATCAATGAGTCAACCAGGAAATAAAAAAAAAGTAAATGAAAAAAACATGTGGTAGCAAATGAAAATAAAAACATAGAGGTCCAATACCTTTGGGATGCAGGAAAAGCAGTTCTAGGAGGGAATTTAAAAGCAATACAGGCCTACCCCAAGAAGCAAGAAAAATCTCAAATAAACAACCTAACCTTATACCTAAATGAGCTAAAAATAGAACAAGAAACAATGCCTAAAGATAGCAGAAGGAAGCAAATAGCAGAAATAAGTGACATAGAAACTAAAGAATAAAAACAAAAACAAACAAACAAAAAAAACCCAGTAGAGCTGATAAATGAAACCAGCAGGTGGTTCTTTGAAATAATTAATGAAATTGATAAAACTATAGTCAGACTTATCTAAATGAAAACAGAAAGGACCCAAAATAAATAAAATCACAAATGAGAGAGGAAAAATAACAACAAATGCCACAGAGATACAAACAATGAGAATATTATGAAAAAAGAAATATATGCCAACCAACTGGACAACCTAGGGGAATGGATAAATTCCTAGAAACATATAAACTACAAAAACTGAAACAGAAGAAATACAAAATTCGAACAGACCTATAGCCAGCAAAGAAATTGAAGCAGTAATCAAAAAGCTCCCAACAAACAACAGTCTAGGAGCAGAAGGCTACACAGGCGAATTCTACCAAACATTTAAAGAAGAATTAATACCTATTCTTCTCAAATTATTCCAAAAAATAGAAAAGGAAGGAAAACTTCCAAATTCATTCTATGAAGCCAGCATTACCCTCATAGCAAAATGAGATAAAGACACCACCAAAAAGAGAACTAGAGGCCAATATCTCTGATGAACATAGATGCAAAAATTCTCAACAAAATACTAACAAACCAAATCCAACAATACATTAAAAAATAACCGTTCACCGTGATCCAGTGGGATTAATTCCTGGGTCACAAGGGTGTTTCAATGTTCACAAATCAATCAAGGTGATGTATCACATCAATAACAGAAAAGATAAAAATCACATGATCATCTCAATAGACTCAGAGGAAGTATTTGACAAAGTACAACATCCATTCATGAAAAAAAAAAAAAACAAAACCCTCAACAAAGTAGGGCTAGAGGGAATATACCTCAACAAAATAAAGGCCTTATGTGAAAAACCCATGGCTAATGTCATCTTCAATCAGGAAAAATTGAGAGCTTTTCCTCTATGGTTAGGAACAAGATAGGGGGGTCCATTCTCACCACTGTTATTCAACATATTACTAGAAGTCCTAGCTACAGCAATCAGACAACAAAAATATATAACAGGTATCCACATCTACAAGGAAGAAGTAAAATTTTCACTATTTGCAGATGACATGATACTCTATATAGAAAACACAAAAGACCCCACCAAAAAAGTGCTAGAGTTGATAAATGAATTCAGTAAATTGACAGGATATAAAATCAATATACAGAAATCTTTTGCATCTCCTTACACCAATAATGAAGCAGCAGAAAGAGAAATTAAAGAATCAATCCCATTCACTATTGCACCAAAAATAATAAGATACTTAGGAATAAAACCATCTGAAGAGTTGAAAAACCTGTACTCTGCAAACTATAAATCACTGATGAAAGAAATTTAAGATGACAGAAAGCAATGGAAATATATTCCATGCTCATGGATTGGAAGAACAGATTTTGTTAAAATGTCTATACTACCCAAAGTAATCTACATATTTAATGCAATCCCTATCAAAATACCAAGAGCATTTTTCACAGAGCTAGAAAAAACAATCTTAAAATTTGTATGGAAAAAGCTGCAAAAGACCCCAAATAGCCAAAGCATTCTTGAAAAGGGAAAGCAAAGCTGGAGGCATCACAATTCTGGACTTCAAGTTGTATTACAAAGCTGTAGTGATCAAAACAGCATGGCACTGGCACAAAAAACAGACACATAGATCAATAGAACAGAATGGAAAACCTAGAAATGAACCCGTGATTATAGGGTCAATTAATCTTCAATGAAGTGGGAAAGAATATCCAATGGGGAAAAAAAGACAGTCTCTTCAACAAATGGTGTTGAGAAACCTGGACAGCAACATACAAAATAAAGAAACTGGACCACTTTCTTATGCCATACACAAAAATAAATTCAGAATGGATTAAAGTCCTAAATGTGAGACCTGAAACCATGAAAATCCTAGAGGAGAATACAGGCAGTAACCTCTTTGACATTGGCCATAGCAACTTCTTTCTAGATATGTCTCCCGAGGCAAGGGAAACAAAAGCAAAAATAAAGTATCAGGACTACATCAAAATAACAAGCATCTGCACAGTGAAGGAAACAATCAACAAAACTAAAAGGCAACCTATGGAATGGGAGGAGATATTTGCAAATGGCATACCTGATAAAGGATTAATACCCAAAATATTTAAAGAACTTATAAAGCTCAACACCCCAAAACCAAATAATCCAGTTAAAAAATAGGCAGAAGCCATGAATAGATATTTCTCCAACAAAGATATCCAGATGCCCAACAGACACATAAAAGATGATCGAAATCACTGATCATCAGGGAAATGCAACTCAAAACTGCAATGAGAGATCACCTCACACCTGTCAGAAGGGCTAAAATTAAGGACACATGAAAAACAGGTGTTGATGTGGATGTGGAGAAAGGGGAACCCTCTTGCACTGTTTGTGGGAAGGGAAACTAGTGCAGCCACTCCGGAGAACAGTATGGAGACCCCTCAAGAATTAAAAATAGAGCTACCCTACGACCCAGTATTTGCACAACTGGGTATTTACGCAAAGAATACAAAAATCCTAATTTGAAGTGATACATGCACCCAGATGTTTATAGCAGCATTATCTACAACAGCCACATTATGGAAATAGCCCAAGTGTCCATCTACTGATGAATGGAATAAGATTTTATTTATATACAATGGAATATTACTAAGCCATAAAAAAAATGAAATCTTGCCATTTGCAATGACAAGGAATGACTTAGAGAGTAATATGCTAAGCAAAATAAGCCAGTCACAGAAAGACAAATACCATATGATTTTACTTATATGTGGAGTCTAAGAAACAAATGAGCAAAGGGGAAAAAAAGACAGAGAGGCAAACCAAGAAACAGAGTCTTAACTGTAGAGAAAAATCTGATGGTTACCAGAGGGGATTGGAGTGGGGGAGGGGGGAATAGGTTAAATAGGTGATGGAGATTAAGGAGTATCACTTATTGTGATGAGTACTGGGTGTTGCATGGAATTGTTGAATTGCTATATTGTACACCTGAAACTAATATTACAGTGTATGTTAACTAACTGAAATTTAAATGAAAACTTAAAAAAAGTAATTTCTAATCCATGCCACTGTAATAAACCTTGCCTGGGGTTTAAATTTAAGTTCCAGGCCTCTAAAGTGGGATCCTGAGGAACAACAACCCCGTTTGCTTTCCCATGGTCCTTCCTGAGGTTACTCTTTTTGTTAAATGCAGTGGTCAAGTCTTTACCCCCATAATTTGCTGATAGACTTGTATGAAGTTGAAGGTTTGCTTCCTTGAATCTTTGACTACTGCCCATTTCAATAGCACTCCAGATCCCCTAGCACCACATTACAAATTATTTTTGCTAGGGATTCTCCATATCTCCAAGCAGGTCTGTGTGATCTCCAACCCAGTTCACTTCCAGCCAACCCTGGTTCAGACTAGTACATGGAAGAATTGATAGTCTATCCTTACTGTGCTTAAAAGTTCAGTTGTACTCTATGTGTGCATGCACATGTGTGTCTGTGTGTACTTATTTATTTATTTAAAGACTTTATTTATGAATCTGAGAGAGAGAGAGAGCGCTCAGGAGAGGGCATGAGCAAGGTGAGGGGCAGAGCCCAGCAGGGCGCGGGTCTGGGGCTCCATACCGGGACTGTGGAACCATGACCTGAACTGAAGGCAGACCCTTAACCAACTGAGACACCCAGGCGCCCCTGTGTGCCTGTGTTTAGAGAGGGTTGTCGATGTGTGTGGGAATAACTTTTTGACAGGCACTTAAAAGAAATCAGAGTTAGCAACTATTGCCAAACATGTTCAGGTTTGTTTTTCTGTGCTCCCGCTCATGGCAGTGGCAGCAGGGGCACCCTCCACATGCAGAAAGATGCTGGGGTGTTAGTGGACCTGTACATGCTGTGGAAATGCTCCTCCAGCAGCTGCATCATGAGCGCCAAGGACCATGTGTCCATCCAGATGAATGTGGCTGAAGTTGACAAGGTGACAGGCACGTTCAACAGCCAGTTTAAAACTTACACTATCTGTGGAGTCATTTGTAGGATGTATGAATCAGATGAGTCCGTCCTCTGCCTGGCCGAGGCCAACAGCATCATTTCAAAGAACTTCTGACTGGAGAGGATCATGGATGTGGAATATTTGTCATAAATAAATAGCAAAACCTCCCCCCAAAACGTGTTCAGTTTTATCAGCATCCCAAATATATATGTCCAGGTAATTTTCAGGATGTGCTCCCCCCCCCCCCCCGCCGCATTGGGAAAAAAAACATTACATTCTCTTCCAGCATAATAAATTACTCTTTTTTTTTTTTAATACCAACTATATGGAGCCGTCTAATGCTCCATCTCACTTTGAAATGCCAAAGTCATCCTTCTGAAAAGTCACACAATTAGGTGAAATACATGGCCTAATAAAAATCTCTCACCTTCTCCGTGAGCACTGGGACAAAGATAAGAGGACTTTAAAAACCATTCACAAAGGACATGGCCTGGGTCTTCTAATTTATTATCCAGAGGTTTAATGACTGGAAATCTATTTTAAAAATCAAACACTAGTTTTTTGGGGAAGACACAGAGAAGAGACAACACAGCATTTAAGATTGTAAACTCTGGCATCAGATAGAGCTAAGTCTAAGTTACTTAACTTTTTTACAATTCAGTTTCTTCATCTGTAAAACGGATGTAATAGTAGTACTTCACTTGCAGGGTTGCTGCATTAAATAGTATAGTGCAATAAAACATTTAATTGTGTACCTGACACCTAGGAAACAATCAATATATATGTTACCTATCCCTATAAATATTATTTAGATCTATAATCCCTTTTTTTTTCCTTTTAGTTGTTGGTTGCTTTTCCTTTTCCCTTGTAGCCATTTTACATGTCTGCTCCTTGCTCTCCTTGAAGGGAGATAGTTCGATGATCTTCATGCTGCACCCATTCTGCTGTTTTGCTTGTGCACATGTTATAAGTTGAGATTTATTATAATCAGTTGCTTATTCTAATATAAGTCAGCTCGTGTCCATAGAGATATCTGGTCTTCAGAGGCACTGTATTGAGGCCCTAGTATGCATTTACTAGCTTCTCATATCTAACGTGATATTAATGTGGTACAAGGGACTCTCAGTCATTATCCCACCCTTAACTACACTAGCAAGCAGGTTTGTCTTTTGTCTCTTCATTGTTAACTATCTTCTTTTTAATATATGCTACTTTTTGCTACTCCTGCCTCCCAACTTCTTCAAGTCACCGCTGATATATTTTTTTTCTTCCTTACTTAATATTTTCTTTATTTATTTTTGCATGAAATGTCTTTGACTGATGTTTTATACAAATCACCAGTCAAGAGAATACTCTTTTCACACTACTGAATTGACCAATCTTAATATACTAGTTGTAATATTTGGGTCTCTGGCACTTCTTTCCTTTGTCCATTTATTGATAGCATTTTAGACGCTATGCCTTTGATCTTACATATGGTTTTATTTTTTTTTTGATAACTTGTAAGATATGTGGTATTATAGTAGACTGAGGCTTTTAAACAGCTACTCTTTGGGGCGGTGGGGTCTTACCGTGTTTTGAACCCAGAAAATCTTTCATATATATATGTATATGTATATATGTATAAATATATATATGTATATATATGTATATTTTAAACCAGGAGCTGTTCTTTCTAGGAAGATGCCAAAAAGAGCAATATAGAATTTAAGAGTGTAGCCTCTAGAATCAGGCAGAGTTGTCCTTGGAAAGGCACAGATAACATCCTTTTTATCTATATCCTTAATTTTTAATCTATCAAGAAATTACTTCTGAAATCATGTAAGGCCATAGCATCTTTATTTTCCTGTTCCTAAAAGAGCACAGAAATCTTTTTGAAGTAAGGGCATCATATTGGGTATAGGCACTGGCTTCTGCTTCTTTTGAGAGCTGAGCTATATAACTGGGTTTGCACGGAGCTTCAGGCATGTGCCTTAGTCATGGAGGGGAACATGAGAACTTACAGAGGGCTTCCTATAAAATAATGATCTTGATGGTGATAAAAAATAATAATGTTCCTAGAAAAGCAGCATTTATTGAGAGTTTACCATGTAACAAGCATTCATAAGCACATCTAGTTTTACAAAAAATTTGACTTATCATTATTGTCCTCATTTTTACAAATGAGCAAACTGATGCCAAGATTGGTTAACTTGTCCCAAGTCACAAATGTAGAAAATTGCAGAGCAGGACTCATATTTACTGCTGTCTTTCTCTAAAGCTTATGGTTTCTATCACACTAGGCTGCTTATGGACCCTATGTGAGTCTTGCATACTCTGGCCCACCCTAGACTCTTACATGGAGAAGGAATCAGATTGGCTCTCATTGCAGAAATAAGGTTCCAGATGTCTAGCTACAAAAAGAAGAAGAAGAAGAAGAAGAAGAAGAAGAAGAAGAAGAAGAAGAAGAAGAAGAAGAAGAAGAAGGCGACGACATATATAGTATTTACCCACACTCAGAACCAACTGAACAATGAACATAGTGGCCTGAAGATAGCAAAACATCACATTTGTTACTAAGTTATATTTGAGGCTGTGGTTTAGCACCACACTCCATGTTGGAATTGCCCACCTGAGGGTAAATTTGATTCTGCAGAGTATACCACTTTCGTAGAGTTGCTGCTTTACACTGGTCTGATGTGAAGAAGGAAGGGGAATTCTTACAGATTTAGACTATTGGCCGACTAGTATAATTTTGGACCAACGACTATAACCTACCCACCAGGTAACTCACTGTATCTCAGTGTTGAGGGGTTAGGTGTGGGGCCAGGTGAAAAGAAGCCAAAGAATTTCTTCTTGCTAGAAATATAACACTTTCTGTGGCCCATGCAGATATGGCTGTGAGGTCAATTTCCTTTTCAAATCAATGAAACCTATATAAGCGCTTCTCTGCTGAATCCTTTAGGTGTTTATATTTCATGAATAATCCATTTTTCCAAGGAAAACATATCACAGAAATGCATTCTCTTGGTCTTCCAAAAGCATTTATGACCAAGCCCATGGAAATGTGGAGGACGAACAGGGCAAACAGCGGAAGAGAAACTATGTGAATATGAATATGTGTATACCTCTTTTGTCCATCACAGAAGTAAACGGATGCATCTGTACAAATAAATGAATACTGACCTCAATCAGTTTTAATGAATGATAATTTTTTTAAAGATTTTATTTATTTATTTGAGAGAGAGAGAATGAGAAAGAGCACATGAGAGTGGGGAGGGTCAGAGGGAGAAGCAGACTCCCCCGCCGAGCAGGGAGTCTGATGCGGGACTCGATCCCGGGACTCCAGGATCATGACCTGAGCCGAAGGCAGTCGCTTAACCAACTGAGCCACCCAGGCGCCCCTAATGAATGATAATTTTTGTAAAATGGAAAAATAATGGCAAATTTTATCTTATCTGTACAATTTTTAAAGGATTTTCATAACTTTGCCATTTGCATACTAAATCAGACGTTGACACCGGAACAAGAGTAAAAATGATGATGTTTAATAATACTGCTAACAGTTACTGTGTGCTTTCTTGTATCAGGAACCATGCCAAGATTTTCACATATATTATTTAACACAACATCCCTATCATGTATATACTACTGTTATTCTTATCGTATATAGAAAACTAAGGGTCAGGGAGTTTAAGTGGCTTGCCTAAGTTTACGAGTCTAGGTGACTTACTAGTAAGTCATTCAAGTCTTTCTCACTTTAAGGCCTGGACTCTAAATCACTATACTATGTCTTCATATGTTAAGATACATAATTCTAATCTTCTAATGTTTCTGGGCTTTACAAACCCGGAGGGTTTAGGTACAATTTGTTCATGTAATTATTTATTATAGAGCTTTATTCATATTTACCTAGAGCTCACTATTCAAGTCCCCAGCAAATTCAGCACAGTCCTTGCCTTCATACACCTCACTGTCCAGTGCACTGTTGAGACTCATCTCATTCTGTTAGGACATCCTAGTGTACCTCTGGATTGTGGGGAGGAGGGGGCTTTGTAAAATACTACAAACTAATTCTTTAAGAGACACATACTCCCTTATTCTTTGCTCAAATTTATATAAATTAGCTAGATTCTATGATTTTAAAGCAAATGATTCTGTACAGGAAAGTCATTCCTAGGTGATGTTGTGGGTGCATTGGATGATTAATTCTGAGAGAAGAATGCCTGACAATTCCGGTGTAGCAACGGAGGGAAAGGCACAGTATGTGGAGAAGTGATGCTGTGTTTTGTCAGGGGCGCAGCCAGATTATTGGCTACATCCCCAGGAATTTCCTTAGACTGGTAGATGCTACACAGCAATGGTGTTTTTCAGTGCCGGCTTGGAGAAGCATCTGAGCCAGCCCCAACAATGAGAGAGAATGGAGGGGAAGACAGTATTTGGCTGTCGAGGGCTGGTTTTTGTTTTGTTTTGTTTTGTTTTGTTTTGTTTAGATTTTATTTATTTACTTACTTATTTAAGGAAGAGAGAGAGAGGGAGACAGAGGGAGAGAGGTGGGGGGCGAGGAGAGGGAGAGAGAGAATCTTAAGTGGACTCCCAGCTGAGTGCAGAGTCCAACACAGGGCTCAATCCCAAGACTCTGAGATCATGACCTGAGCCAAAATCAAGAGTCAGGAGCTTAACCGAGTCACTCAGGTGCCCCCAAATCTTTTGTATTTCTATATACCAATAATGAAGCAGCAGAAAGAGAAATCAAGGAGTCAATACCATTTACAACTGCACTAAATACATAAGATGCCTCGAAATACACCTAACCAAAGAGGTAAAAGATCTGCATTCTGACAACCACAGAAGACTGATGAAAGAAACTGAACATGACACACAGAAATGGAAAAACATTCCAACCCCCTTGGTTGAAAGAACAAATGTTGTTAAAATGTCTATACTACTCCAAACAATCTACACATTTTTAAAAAAAAATTTTATTTAAATTCAACCTCGCTGTCATATAGTGTATTATTAGTTTCAGGGGTAGAATTTAATGATTCATTAGTTGCATATAACACCCAGTGCTCATTACATCAAGTGCCCTCCTTAATGCCTATCACCCAATTACCCCATCCCCCCACCCACCTCCCTTCCAGCAACCCTAAGTTTGTTTCCTATAGTTAAGAGTCTCTTATGATTAGGCTCCCTCTCTGTTTTTACCTTACTTTATTTTTCCTTCCCTTCCCTTATGTTCATCAATTTTGTTTCTTAAATTCCATGTATCAGTGAAATTA